GATCGGGACAGAAAATCGATACTGGATTATAATATTGTTGTTAATAGGATACACATACATGTCGAACAAGTAACTTAGTTGTGTGGTGTCTGCGGCCTTCATTTTTCAAGATTCGTACTCATAGCTCTATTAAAAAAGTCTACCACCCAAACTTGTGAACTGCATTGGCAACAGCACGCAACAAGATATCCAAGAGCTGTGAGAAAGGTTTGCCCTGATTTACGATGGAATAAACAAAACCTATTCGACCTCAACTGAAATCGACCAGCTAGAGCTGGAAATTCAACAGTAGATTGGAAGCTTTTGCAAACTGGGTGATGCAAAGCCAGGGTATGGGAAAGCGCGTGCAACTCCCTACATGCACTCCCTCCTGTGCCATGGATGATTCGTAAATTCAAGAGCATCAAATCCTTCCACCGGAAATGGGAGTTGAGAAAGCGAACGATGTCGCCAGGAGGGTCCACCAGAACAAGTCAAACCGCTGGGATGCCACCACCGCTGTTCTCTTGGTAACTGGTCGACCGGATATGCTGCACCATAGACAATGAGAAAAAAGAAGAGCATGACTGTAGTACATGCTTTTGGGTTTGGTAACTTCGGTCAGTCCTGATATGGGACGGGCCCAAACTTTGGAAATAAAATAATAGAATGTGCATGTTATGTGCAGGTGACGCAAACTTTGGACCAAGAGCATTGGCTGCTGTGCACGTATATGGGGGCTCTGAATTACATGTATATTATTGACAAAAACCTCGTCCAACTTCAGAGCCATTTGAGCAGTGTACCTCCCTTCCCTAGAGCCACGGACCACAGTCACGAACTAGGGCCCACCTACTACGAGATGGTTCTTGCTCGCTAGCTACATCCATCGATGACCGCCTTTCTCATCCTCTCTAAACGGCACTACTATGGTAGGGACATGGGAAAGTCGACGGGTTACTTCTGAAGACCAGGTGACTGGCTAACAGACGTTTTCCAGAGTACATAGATCAAACCTCACACTAATCAAAATGTCACTTGCTGCAAATTCTACTCGTGACATGGTGCTACTAGAGGTACTTAGGGCGCGTTCAGACTGGCGTGAATAGCCGCCGGAAAGCTGCAGCGTAATCCCGGGAATCGCAATCACACTGCACGTGTATCCCGCTGGAATGGCCAGTACATGTGAAGCTTCGACATTTGAAAAATTTGAGTTGACTCAGTTTGAGTTGGATATCAAAATAAACTAATTCAGTCTGTTGAGATACTGGATCATTGTGCTTTTGCTTGTGCTTGTCGACGGAAAGAATACTATGTCCGGAGTGTTTGGTGCTTGCGTGGCATTCATCCGTTTCGCGATCAGAGTATGCTTCTCGTTCGCAGTAACGTTTTGCCTGCACTGGCTGCAGAGCGGCCCGCAAAAATCACCACGTACAGCTCCATGAACTCCCTCTCCATTGCTGAATCGAACAAAGATTTCGGCATGATGGGAGAAGTTGGCAGTCTAGAAGTCAAAACTCAAAACTCAAAAGCATGCAGTCAGACTGCAAGAGTAGAGGCTGAAATAAAACGAAAAGACGGAACATGTGCTGCAAGGATATCAAAAGCGCTCCGCGTTCCGCCGGAATCTGCATTCCACTGGCCTGCAGAGTGGTGGGAAACCTTTTCCGTGTTTACGCTGGCGGGAACGTCACGTGAGCGATTCACCTTGACAACTTTCACATTCCGCTTGTTTTTTACGCCAGTCTGAACGCGCCCTTAGCCACACAATTATGAGCGTGATATGAGTGGCTTGTCCGTCAACTCTTCAGCACAAACGGTGGAGGCAGCTCCCAATCTCTGTCGCCACTACAAGCACTGAGTCTGTAAGCCTGTAAGTAGCTGCATGGTCAGTGCGCATTAGCCCTAGCTTGGTGGAAAATGAGGCAGAAAATTGGCAGAATTTGGTAGCGTTTTCCTGGTACGTTTCATGCATGTTTGGCATGGGGATAAATATGTGGAGCAGAATTCAAGGAAGTGCCAGCCATACGGTTTGTAGGGTTCTGCCAATTTCACTACCTTTTCGAGCCGAATCTGCCAATTTTTCCAGCATTGTCCGCTATAGGCTAGTGTGCATACAAGGCATTCACGGCCCGAACAGGGACATGGCTTCTACATCATAGTACATGTGTCATAATAACACTCATACATGCCAGAGTGCATAATGCACTCTGGCATGTATGTTACGGTACTGCTCAATGAAATCCAGTCGAGTTTCTCAAGTACGCGCCGGGCGTTGCGCAGCCCTAGCCCTGCAAACACTGCGTTGCGAAAAGGTGCACGGCGCCAACTTGACTCTCGTGACTGGATTTCAGTGTGCAGCACTGTAGTTGGCTTCCTTCCATGTCACAGATATCACCACCAGGGGCGTACACCATGGTACACCGCTCGCCTCCAGGAGTGGTTTCCATGCCAACTGGTGAACCAACATTCCACCAAAGTGCTCTGACGGAGTTCCTGCATAAACTGCTGGATAATGTCATAACAACGCATTTTTGATATAAAAAGAGTGAACTTTGCCAAGGCATTTTTATGGTTGTTTTGTTCAGCAGGACAATTTCATGCAGTCTTGAGTCGGGTTATATTCTCTAGAGGACTGTGGTAAAGCTGCCCAAGCTTCGAATCATCTGGTGCAACATGACGCAGGGCGAGCAGAAGCCACCATGGCACGCCCGTCAAAAGACTACCCAGGGAAACTCCTCCAACCAGGATAGTTGAAATCGGCGATGTTTGCCATCCGTCTGGACACGCACAGGAAACGAAATCCTTCGCCTTCAGTGGCGCACAATGATTGTCAATGACGGAAATCTTTTCCATGTCCGGCAACTTTCGGGGGAATCAGGGATTCCACTGTGGAAGTACACTTTCAGAATACCCTTTCAAACACACTCCAATGTCACTGAAGAAAGTCTTGGATGATCCAGCAGCTTCCAATAACGGTCGCTCTAGAGCTTCGCCGACGATTCTGTCCTCTGTGATGCTCGTTGCAGACTCCACTTGCAAGTCAGGTGCGTCCGCAATCTCATCTATCGCTTGTTCTTCGTCACTGGCTATACGCTTTGCCTCCTGCTCAAAATAGCTCTGAATAGAGCGCTGGCCCTCTGGATGTTGACTCTTTTTCTTTCTTTTCTACAAATCGAAAGCATCGTCAAAAACGTAACCAACTAACTAACTTTGTCGAAACAAACTGCAAAGGAAATGACTCTGAGATCGAGGAATCGCATGTAGGGACTTTGTTGCACCCGTACCCAGTTAGTAAAGTTCAGTAGATCCACGCTGTGTCACAAATATGCCCCAGCAGCACTTTTACACCTGGCCTACAACCGTCCTCGGACCGTCAGACGGACTGCATGCAGGTGCCTACAGTGTAGCTAGGCGCTAGGCATGCATGCACTGCACGCTGGGCCTGGATCAAAACATTCTCCGTACCCACATTGAAATGTTTTTACTGGTTCCCGGGCATCCCGGGAACCGCCCTATGTACGCCCCTGACCACTGTACTGCATGGTCTCCAGTGTTGGCTGTTGCAGTACAGAAGGTAAAACAAACACTGTAAGCTTAGAAGTTGCGACTTCGGCGGTAATAGTCATGAAGTTGATTGTTCCAACTAGGAACACACGCTTCTTGCCGAACTTGACACCTGACTGACTCACGACTGCCATCCAGAGCACACGAGGAGCACGTCGCACCTTCGGCAAACCTGCAAGAAAGCACCACTCCCACACTGTGTATTGAGAAACACTGTGTATTGAGCAGGGAGTGGTGCTTTCTTGCAGGTTTGCCGAGTGGAAGGTGCGATGTGCTCCTCGTGTGCTCTGGATGGCAGTCGTGAGTCAGTCAAGTGTCAAGTTCGGCAAGAAGCGTGTGTTCCTAGTTGGAACAATCAACTTCACTGTAAGCTTGTAAATGTATTTTAAAGTTAGTTGTAGCACTGTATACATATGTAGTGAACAACATACATGACATGGCAAATGGTGGCACATACAGTGTTCATTGTACACTGAGTCTGTATGTGCCAGGGAGTCGTAAAATACCACGGTATTTTTACGACTCCCTGGCATGTGCCACCATTTGCCATTCGGCCAAGACCTATGACTGAAGACGGTCGAGCTGCTGATCTGTAGATCTACCCAGTGCAGTACGGCAGTAGCCTTGTTTAGTAGATACATGAATTGTATGTAGCTGCCGCAGCAAGGCTATACTTGGTGCACAGGGAACACAGGCCACTGTCTTTGTCACGACGGTTTTGTCCGATGATTACGGTCTGCAGACATCCGGACGCACAGTGGCATGTCCGATACAAGTCAGGCACTTACCGGTATAGTAGCTTGTCTAGTAGTAGTAGAATGCGACGCTAATCAAATGACTGCCTCTGTGCTCCAATAATATCACGGAGCTTCGTGGGTAGTCTACAGACTAAGTAACTTAGTTCCTCGATCCAGGAAATCAATCCACCCCTCCTCAGTACAGAGTGTTGCCGACCCAAGTATTACATGTAGTTGAGCTTGGGATGTAACATGACAGCAGAGCGTCCAAGAATGTGCCTTTTTCAGTACTCTTTGTGGCAGTTTAGAAGTGAAGATCTACAGTTACACTGGACAGGTACTGGCTGTAGTGACCAGTGACCAGTCCTGGAAATATCATCAGTTGACAATTTGTCACTGCTGGTGCTGCTGCAGCTAGTGTGAATGCAGAGGGAGCAGCCAGGAGAGAAGTGGAGAAGTGAACTGCCTGTGCCAGGCATACCAGTAACCACACACGTCACAGGGTCAGCTACGTCAGTGACAGTGATAGCAGCTAGCACTAGCACAGTACTACTACTACTACTACTAGTCAGTAGCAGCAGCGACATTGTAAATGACGTCAAGGTGTGATCATCGCTTGATCATCAAGACCTGTCACTGGAAAATGCACCGCCAGCAGAAAGCAGTCGATATGCATCAAGGCCAAGGGAACACTCACGGCCGTGCATCAGCGAAGAGCGCGAGATCTGGCGGCGGAGGTGGCAGCAGGCCAGGCAGGAAGCGTAAAAAAGACGTTCTGCTTGGCTACGTACGCGCCGGCCATAGAAAAGCGTTGTGCAAGCGGCGAGCAGTTCAGTGCAAGTCAACAGTGTTGTTGGGTTGGCGTAGGTTGTTGGAGTCGTGGAAACCCCCTACGTTACCGTGCAAAAAGAAAGGCAGAATGTCGCGCCAACAGCAACAGCCAAACGCTGTTTCCAACCTCATCAGCCGCGAGGAGAATGACATCGCTCACCGTATTCTCGGCATACGCCGAACGGTAAGATGCCCGCTGACGACGTTTCGGCAGCCGCTGAGTGCTTTTGCGGAAATATCCAATTTGTTCGCCAACTGTTGTTTGTATTTGGCTGTTTTTTTTTTTAGACCCTTGCCATTACCGTGGCGCAGCTTTACCAGGGAGCGGGAGGCTCGTGGTCCCCGCATCCGAAAGTCGGCGTTATTTGCTTCGTGAAGGACAACGAGAAGCGCTCCTACTACATTCGCATGGTGGATGTCGTGGTAAGGAGCGGGCACTCGAAACGTGTCTGGATTTGCGGACCTGCACGAAAGACACGGTCTTACTTACTACTACTATACAGTGGTCAGTAGTCATCATGCCAGCAAACACGGAGTGTTTACTGTTAGCACTGCACAGTGCACGGGCTGGCTGGCATATCCGATGAGCCGAGTAAACAACTCACTGCAGAGTTGCCCAGTAGTCCATGAGGCCATTAGTAGTTGCTGTCAATAAAGACATGGCTGTACCGTGTTCTAGTACATGAAACGGTTTCTTCCTGGTGCTATGCAGTTGGAATGGCGGTAGGTTCATAGTCCGCTTTCCACATTCACAAACCGCTATTAGTAAAATGTTTGAGGCTGGAAGTTGCTTTCAGCTAGCGTCATCTAGCTCCTCTACTATGTTCTGCAATTTGATTCCAATGTGCAAACTAACTGAGCTAACGCCCAATAAAGTGCACAAGTCCGTTCGTTTCTGAGGATCGACTTGCGGCACCCTGCTGTACTTTTGCAATCACTGGGGGATTGGTTTTCTTTCTTCTGCACACATAGCGGACGTTCGTATAAGACCGTGTAGCCTCCATTATGGCTGTCAAGCATACTGGCGGGACAGAGGTGAATTTGTGCTCTTCAGTATGAATTGAAAACAAACCCATGTGATCTGTGAAGTTTAGTTTTTTTCCTACATTGGCAGATACAACCCAATTTCGATCATCCTATTTAAACTTGTATTTCCCCTTTTTCAGTGATCACGGTGTTGCGCATCTGTTTTTCTCTCTGGCTTACAGAACCGCCAGCAGGTGTTTGAACAGGAACTGTACAGCCAGATTGTGTACAAGCAGACGCGGTCGTACTTTCATCAGTTCCCCGGAGATGTAAGTCATAAGAGAGTATTGCGGTGTACATGTAGTAGAATCTTGTGGCTGACAGTGAAGTCGGGTTGGGCAGTACCGTATTTCCCCGGTTGTAAGTCGCATTTCAATTTTCATGTCCATGTCATATATTTTTTAATAAATTCACTTGAGTAGTAAGTCCTACTCGATTGTAACTCCCAGCCCTTTTGTTGGCCCTGATGTTGAGTGTACAACTAAAACGATGCGACTTATATTCGGTGGAGAAAATACGGCATGCAGGTGGTACAGCACAGCGTGCATCTTGAACGATGCATGTGAGATACCTGTGGTGGTGCCGAACCAACATAATAATGCGAGTATCTACTAGGCGAATGGAAGGTTGGACACCGTGATCCTTGCAGATAAGTAGTTGATACGATCATTGTGAGTGTAATGCAAGCCGATACGAGTATAGCTAGCATTGCTGGTTGGAACTACATAACTAGACTGTGTGCGTGTCAGTCGTTGCAAGGCAAGTGCCGGATAGAGGCGGCAATCAGTCATTGGATTGTTATGGGTTGTGTGGCAGCAGCACTAACTAGCTCTTCCTCGCATGGTGGTGCTCTTGTTCTTGTGCTGCACACACGCACAGAGATGCCAGATTGGCCTAAACTTCGCAGATGAGGGTGAGGCTGGCTACTTCTATGACCAGGTCAACAAGAAAATCTCCGAGCGCGCCACTCGCAAAGCAAAGGGTAAGCGGCAAAGGGTATGTTGTCAGCTAACAACTGTTGTGTTACTGATGGCTAGTGTGTGATAATGGGCATGATACATGGGCATGTGTGATGCAGCCGCGTCCTGACTGATTGAAAACTGTACTGACTGCCATTTCTTTTACAATTTTCCGGCCCACCACTGCCTGTGACCATACAGGTCGTCACCAGTCGGTGAAAGGCAGAAGCGGGCCACCGGGCGGACCACCACCGCCGGTAGCAGCAGCAGCACCCCCACCGGCTGTACCGCAGAGTCACTCTGCTCCTAGTGCTTCTATGGCGCCCTCGACCACCATCACATCCACCGCTTCTCTCTCCACTACCGGGAAATCAAAGAAAGACAAGAATGCCAAAAAGGGTGGTAAAGATAAGGGAAAGAAGAGACTGACAAAGCTGGACATCTCTGGGCCCAGCAACTTTCAGTAAGTGAATGCCTGCCTTCCAGTTTTATTGTTACGATATTTCATTGACGTTTGAGTAGTTTAACCCGCTCCTAAGTTACTGTCTTCTACCAGTGCATGACATTGTTCAAGTTTGTTCATGACCATCACGGCGCTGCTTGGATATAACAGTTCATAGTCAAGTATGCCTGACCTGGTTCAGGTACATGGACATGTACTATCAAACCTTGAGTGTAAGGCTATGGCACATCAGTGCGGTAGCTCTGCTAGCTTGTAGCAAGGAGTAGTACAATAATTATGGTATTGTACTGCTCTCAGGCTTGTAGCACATCAGTGAAGGCAGTGGCATAGCCGTCACGTACATTGGCGGTCGTTAGTGAAACAGACGCAAGGCGCAGTTGGGGTAGACCCTTGCATGGCAGTCTCTTGCCGCTATGCAGGTGATCATTTGGATAAGAGCTGCCCCCGGTCAATGGTGCAAGGTACTGATTGTCCTTCGACTCATTCATAGTATCACATTGAGTATTCATTGGGTTGAGTGAGGTGAAAGCATGGAGTATGGGTGGTGATTATTAGGGCTCAAACGGTTAGTCCGATTAACCGGTTGCAGACCGGTTACGAAGAATTAACGGTTAACCGATAAGATAACGGTTACGCAGTAACTTTTCAGTCAATTTTTCAAGTATCAGGTCGTTGCAAAGTATGCACTTTCGCAGGCTGTCACACGCGTACGCAACTTCTGGGCTATCAACTCGGTCAAATCTGGTCTCTTGGTGTGAGAGTATGTATGAATGAGCATGCAAGAGAATGTACATGTGTGCGTTGTACTGAATAGGGTACGTTTTTTGAATGAGTATAGTCAAATATACGGTTAAAAAAGAGTCCGCAGGATTGCCGTGGCTTATAGGTTATAACCGTTAAACCGACCGTTAGCTTAGCAGTTAACCGTTAGGGGTAAAACCGTGACCGTTTGAGCCCTAGTGATTATGTGTTGGTAACGGGTCATGTGCTGCTGAATGGTGCGCTTTTTCTGTACAGGCACTTGAGTCACATTGGCTGGGATCCTGTGCAAGGCTTCGATGTGAGTAGCAGTTCCATGAGTGCACTATTTCCAGGTTGTCGGTGATAGTAGGCTGCATAACGTGTGTGTACGCGCGCATGTGTGTGTGCGCGCGTGTGTGTGTGATGTGTGTATGTGTTGAAAGTGCGTCGGTAGTCATGCAGCACTCACATGCTTGCCGTTAGCCATACCTACGGCATACATGAGTCGTACATGTACTGACTTGCTTCTTTTTCTTGAAAGAAGACGATCCCTTGCTCTCGATATACAGCCGTAGCCTGGCTACGTGACTGATATGAATAGTCGCTAACTGATTAAATACTGGTCACAACTGCATAGCTTGACTCAGCACTGTTGCCTGTGCATGCCCCTTTTTAGAGCAACAACATTGCTCCTGAGTGGCAGCAACTCTTCGACCAAGTTGGTGTTACGCAGGATCAGCTGAAGGACAAGGAAACGGCGCAGTTCATCTATGACTACGTTGAGAAGTCCGGAGGCATCCAGAAGTGGGCCGAGGACCACCAGCCCAGAGGACCACCACCTGGTAAGTTATCCTCCTTTTTCTCTTTCTTCTTGTTTGTATTTCCAAGAACTGTAGCACTGTATGGGACATCCAATCCAAAGGTCAAAGCTCCCCCCCCCCCCTCTCCTCCTGAACCAGTTCCCAATACTTGTACATCACCCTCTATATTTGCACAAGCATATTGTACTTTCCTGTATTCACATCATCATCATCATCATCATCATCATCATCATCATCACAAGCCCATAGCCCTAAGGTCGTCGGATCGGTGCGTCACAGAGCAAGTATGAACAAGCGAGCGCCATAAAAATCGATCGCGTGCAGCAGCGAGCAGGGACTGCACGTCAAGTGCAGTCCATGAAATAATATTATCAAGCCATGACATTCTGGGCCTGCCTCAGCCACGACCTCCAGCAACACGACCCTGAAGAACTACTACATGTGAATGGAAGTGCAGCCCGAAAGAGCTTGAACAAAACACGCCACGTACATGTACATCAGGGGTGTCGGACATGGTACGGTCACTACGGTATTGACCGTACCACCTTTTACCCCAGGTACCCCGTGAATCAATAAAATACACTGATCTGGGATCTAAATTTCTAAAATTTTCGGCTCTGCTGCCACTCGCCCACAAGTAAATCGTACTTCAGATGGCTGACCGTACCACACTAAAATACCTTCCGACGCCCCCTGTGCATGCATACACCTACCCAGCAGCATTTTTACTTCCAGACGTCAACATGGTCTTGGACTGTGCAAGCCCCACTTGCCAGAGATGCGCTTGGGATTTGGCTTCACAACAGGCTGTGCTATGAGCAACAGCGGAGCGGGTGCATATGCGGGTGCGCACGCACGTGTGCATGGTCGGGTGCATATCCGGGTGCGCACGCACGTGTGCATGGTCGGGTGCATATGCGGGTGCGCACGCATGTGCGTGTGGTGGTGTGTTCGAGACATCTTTGTATGTGTATGGTCTTTCTCCTACAGCTGGGTTATCAGAGATTGCTTTCATAGGCAATGGCAGATGGTGCAGATAGGCTGACTTGCTGCTGTATGTGTTCAATACTTTGTCATTGTTGTGTGTGCACGTGTTCCTGATTCTGTACAGCTGCTCCTGCACCTCCTGGTCGTGCTGGCCCACCTGGTCCACCGCCCCCGAACAGAAACAACGCCCCTCCTCCACCCCCAGCCTCCACATCGCGAGGTGCTCCTCCGCCCGCACCCCCTGGCTCGCGTGGTGCACCCCCACCTCCGAATCGCGGAGGTCCACCACCACCTCCACCAGCACCCATGTCTGGCGGCCCACCACCTCCACCGCCGCCACCACCAGCGGGGGCACCACCTCCACCCGGCCCACCTCCTCCACCTTCTTTGAATGCACCCGCCGCTCCACCTCCTCCACCAATGGGGGATATGGGTGGCGGCGGCGGTGATGGTGGTGGCCGTGGTGATCTCCTCAGCTCAATCCGTGCTGGCAGCAGCCTCAAGAAGGTAGAAGCAAGTTCTGGTAATGGCGGCGGCGGCGGTGGCGGAGATGGCCGTGGAGATCTGCTCAGCTCCATTCGGGCCGGAACTAAGTTGAACAAGGTACGTACATATTAACATGTTATTTAGCAATTGCAAATAATGTAGCCAGTTTTCGTATTTGAATGAACATGAGAAAATAATGTAGCCAGTTTTCGTATTTGAATGAACATGAGAAAGGACGGAAGGCAGGGTTTCTGTTCAACTGGCTGTCGCGCATAAGAATGTAGAATTCTACACATCGTTACGAGAGTCTGTGTGCATATTGTTGGGCCCCTGACATCACCACTTTCTGACTTGCCTGAACTTACGTATCTTGATCAACTAAACGCTAATCCAATTGTAGAATACAATTGCAATGTTTGGGCAAACGGACACAGGGACGTAGCTGGTCCCCCCGTGCCCCATGCGGGACATCAGTGAGTTGAAGCAAGTCAAAGCCACACAAGAGAAGCATTGGCTTCCCGAGTTGGCACGCAGGGCTACATGATGCTTGGGCTCAGAACCACTCAATAGCAGTCCATCTCAACTGACACGTTACCAGCCGAGCCAAAGCTGGCTACTTCCCTGTGGGGTACTCGGAATAAAACTGGGAGTGTTTTGTTCTCCGGACAGCTAGCTATTTCCGTGATTGGCGGTGACCATATTGTGTACATGCACATCCCTGTTGTGTTGCTTGCCACAGGTTGAAGCCGGTCAAGATGACCGCCGTGCATCCAAGCAACCGGCACAAGAAGACGTGGGAGGAATGGCTGGAGCACTGGCAAGAGCTCTGGCTGACCGCTCCAAGGTCATACATTCTGGTCAGTACTGTTCTCTGTGACTGTTACAGTCTTGTCTTGTTCGATTCTTGTGCTGCTGCTGCAGGCGTGCTATTTTTTTTAAACTGCCGTGGAAAGTGTGTATACTCTCGGTGCTCATTCTGCCATGGATCAGCTATCTCATCGATGCTGCACGATACGCTTTTAAAGCTGTTGATATTCTGTGTACTTTTTTTACTGTATTTGCACAGATGAGGATGAAGACAGCGATTTCGAGGAGGAAGATGAAGAAGATTGGGATGACTAAGTCCAGGAAGAACTACGAATGGCATTGCCCATGACATTTTTCTTCTTAACTTGCTTCTAGATTCAACAATTCCTTCTTTTATTGCCGGTACTACCTATGCTCAGAACTGGGAATTACTAGTACATTCGAAGTATGTGTAGAACATGTACTGTCACTTATTTGCCCTGGCAAATTTTCATGGATCTCGCCCATTTCGTGTCTGCCATTTTTCCCTATTTCAGTTTCCTGCCAAACTCTCTGATCAGTGTTGTCAAGAGCCCGGTCACGATGCTGCGCTCTTGCCATGCAGTGCTGCCCCACCCCTCTCCATTTTTGCTCCCGCTGGCGTGGATTGCATGTGTAGGGCCCTTTTTATTGTGTACATGTATAATTAGTGTATAATTATTATTATTATTATTACTATGTAACAGACAGTTAGACATGCATTCTTTTCTGGTCAGTTTGGATGTTTGAGCAAAACCAGCCAGACTTGTCCCCATCACATACTAGTAATTAATATCGTACATATTAGAA